TTCGAGCTGCTCCTTCTGGATTTTCCTGAGCATCAGACTGTAGACTTTCTGTAAGTGAAATCCGGTTCTGGGCTTCTAGAGGGAGCTCTTCCTGCTGTCGAAGCAAGAGCTCTACCCGAGGGCATGTAGATGCTTCGACGTGTTTGCGCAGATAGAACACTGTTCGGAATGTTGCTCTACAGGCGATGCAAGTTGCTGACCCTGGCATTGAATGCAAAATAGGGTCAAATTTGGGTCCTTTCAAGCTTTGCTGCGAGTCTGGGTGGGCCTTCTGCAGGTGGCGACGGAGTGCCCCGGTACCAGAGAGACATGCTCCACACTCGCCGCAGGTCAGGATCTTATCCTCTACTGATTGCGAGGAGAAGTCAATGGCAAGGCCTTCCAGAGCCTGGCTGATTGCCTCAGCGCGCAGCTTGTAGTGTGGGAGGAGCTGAGGATCTGAGTGTTGCTGTCTCTTAATGAACTGTGTCAGCCTCTTTTGCAGCTGCTCCTTCACGTGAGGAATCCGTACTCTCCGGAGTAACTCCTGGTTGGATTCCTTCGTTTCCTGGGAGTAGCTCCGCAGGACAAACCGAAGTTGGTACATCATGTGTGAATGGAGCTTCTGCAATCCCTGCTGTGTCAGTCCTACCACGTGAAGGGCATACAGAGCAGAGGCCCACGCAGTTATTGTCCAAATTGACAGACGACGTCTGTCTGATAGGACTCGATGGTTCCTAACTGCATGGGCGACTTCTGACATTGCTAGCTTACTGGATGACAGCCGATGTTTAAGGGTCTTCATTTCGTAGTCATGATAAGAAAGAATGACCCCCAGGTATGGGACCTGGTACCGCAGCGATATCAACTTGCCCGAAGGGAGTTCCACAAACTTCTCTCCATCTACCTGGCGAAATAGCTTTTTCCTAATTGTCGAGGCTGAACCTCCTTGTAGCTGCAGCAGTATTGCTGACTTGGACGGATTGACCTTGAACCCAAGTTCAACCAATTGATCCAGAAGAAGGTCGCAGTACCCTAGTGCTGTAATGAGGCCAGACTCAGACTCGAAATGCGACTGAATCAAGCTATCATCCGCATACATGGTGAGAAGTTTAACTAGTTCGGGGGGGCTGATTTTTCCAGAGAGCTTCCTAAAGAGAAGCCCGGATGCAAAGGCGAATAGGGAAGGTGCAAGCTTGCATCCCTGCTTGATTCCCCTGCGTGTGGCTATCTCAAAGCTCTGATCGCTGGCTGTCATCTTGTACAAGGCTTTGATGTGGAGATGGCCCACCACCTCTATAAGAAGAGGGTCTGCTTGTTCAGCTTCCAGGGCTTCTCTTAATCGTAGCCTGTCCACAGTGTCAAAAGCTTTGCTCATGTCAACGCTCATCGTGAGACTGCCCCTGAGCTTGAGCCCCTGTTGTCCCTTACCAGCCGCTCTAGTTGTAAGGGCCTGCCTGAACCTGGCCTGATCCACATGTGTGAGGGCCTTGCAGATCGCCTCCTCTGTGCCCCTACCTGGTACGAAGCCAAACTGAGAGACTCCTTGCATTGCTTGATGGAGGGTGGACTTGAGTCTCTGCCTCACAAGTCCTGCCAGGACCTTGCCCTCAGGTGCTATCACCCCGATCGGACGGAGTGATGTTGGCTTATCTGGCTTCTTGGGGGGCTTTGGGAGCCAAGAGATCTGTGACGAGGTGACGCTGTCCGAAAGCCTTCCTGCAGTGACTTCCCTATTGAGAGTGTCCGAGATGAGCCGAATAGCGTTGGGGCCTAGGGAGCGCCAAGCTACTATGGGAGGACTTTCTTTAGGAACTGCTTTGCCAAGCTTTATAGTGCCTAGCTGTTCTTGAACTTCTTGCTCGGTGATGTGCAGGCTGCCTTGTATCCCTGTGAGCGGGAAGTCGTCCCCTGCTCCAAACAGTTCAATGGAGTATTCCTCTAATTGTCTACGTTCTTCCTTGGCTGTTAGGAAGCGACCCTCTGAGTCACGTAGCTGAACTCTTTCCTGAGGCCTCCCCGACCGGAAGCGCTTGATCACCTTGTAGAGGGAATGACTCCCGTCTTGCTTGGATTTAAGCTCTGCCTGCTCGAGTTGTTCATCTATTTCCTGTCGTCGCCTTTCCTGCTTCTGACGCTTTGCTACCCTCGCCTGTGCACTTTGCTGAGACAGCGACAGCCAGCAGCGAAATACCATTCGGACCTGCAACTCCGGCAAGAACTCTGCTAAGACCTTGACTGACATTGGGAGTGAGCGCAACACTGTGCGCTCTGCCCAAATGCTGAGATCTGATCTTTGTGCTGCTCCCTTTCTCTTGGGAAAGTGAGTCGCGAGGGCTGAGTTCATTGCTTGATGGAGACTCTGCCAGGTTTGGGGATGATCCTGAAGGAGGGAGTCTACCTCCCTGGCAAATGCCTGTATTTTCGGGGAACGGTGTCTGTAGCAGTCCTCCATTGCCTGCTGGTCATAGGGTTTTGAGGCTTGGGCGGAGTATCTCCTGCTGTGCCTCAGTTTACCAAGAAGGGGGAAATGCCTACTACCATCCCTCCAGGATGCCACTGGGAAGGTCCTTAGTGGCCGGCAAAACCTGGCAGGGCCTTGGGACTGTGCAATCCTGACAAACGAGAAGTCAATCTGTGAAACAGAGTTGCCTTGTTCGTGGGTGGCTGGTCTATGCACTCCCCAAGTGTTGGTTGCGACTAGCTGGTGCTCCGACAGTAGGGTCTGGAGATCCTTAGATCCGCGATGCCCGAGTCTGCAAGCCTGGATCGTGCATGGCCCTACGTGTTTGTTGTCGGTCTTGAGCGAGGAGTTAAAATCTCCTAGCACAAGGAGAGTGTTGCGATTGGGAACAGCTCGGATGGACTTACTTAGGGCGTGAAGGGTCTGCTTCCGGGTTTCCTTATTCTGAGCGACTGTCTCCTTAGAGCGCCAAACGTATTGATAGCAGCTGAAGACGTCCAGTGAGATGCCGTTGCTCGGCACCCGGACCTGGAGAACTCTTCCTGGAACAACCTCGTTGTAGCGAAGATCCTGTGACTTGCACAGCGTGGAGTGCACCATTATGAGGACCCCGGCTCCCTTCTCCCCTGTGGAACCAGAGCTGATCACGTGCCAACCTGACTTGCTGAATTGCCATGAGCCCCTCCAGTGTGTTTCCTGAATTGCTACCAGCTTCACATCCTGAAATGCGGCACTTTGCAGTACGGAGAGTAACTCTTCCCAAACTGCTGTTGTGAGAGATCCTGCGTTCCAGGATAGATAGCTGAGATTCTTATCTTCTGTAAATTTTGAAGGCCGAGTCCTTCTGCCGGGATTGGTGGGCTTTACATGTGCCGGAGCAACTCCAAGCTCTGTTGACGACATCGTCCTTCCCTTGTAGACCGCACTACCTTCAAGCAGAGCTTTACGTGCTGCCCTTTGATAAGAGCGTTTACCCTTCCCTTTAGGAACGGGCTGATGCTTGGTCGAACCACTAGGCTGTTTCGCAGCACTCATGTTGAGTACGGCTCCTGTCGGCTTCGCAATACCGACAACCCTCACCTCTGGGAGATGTTAGAGAGCTGTAAATCTAATACTCCCTCCCGGACTTGGGACCGGGACTGCTCAGGCGCTGACAAATGCCATGGCAAGAAAGGAAAAAGGCAACTGTACTAGCCTGACCTTTCCTGAGCCGAGAGGCTTACAACAACAACAACAACAACAACAACAACAACAGCCACAACCACAACCACAACCACAACCACAACCACAACCACAACCACAACCACAACCACAACCACAACCACACCACACCACCGCATCCCCACCACCACCGCCACCACCACCACCAACAACAGCGGCTATAGTGCACAGGTTCCTGATGGTATCTAGAGGTTTGGTCAAGGGTTTTAACGGGATTTAGAAGCTTCAAGGGGTTTCAGAAGAGTCAATGATGTTTAGAAAGGTTTTCAAGGGCTTAGAAGGGTTTTGGAAGTGTTTTGATGGGCTTTAAACTGGCTCCAATGGTTTCAATGCGTTTCGGAAGGAAGTTTATTCGATTCTTAGCAGGTTTTACTGAGATTTACGAGCGTGTGAACTGTTTTGAGAGGGTTTTAGTTGTTATTGGGTTTTGAGGGTTTATAAGGGCTGAGGGCTTGAGAAGGGATTCAGAGGGGTCCTAACTGAATTTAGAAGGGGTTGGAAGCATTGAAAAAGCATACTCCCCCTGTTAAAACCCATGGACACCTTCTACATGCATCTTAACACCATGTGAAACGCCTGCGAAATCCGATTAAGCCCCGTCCTGCAACCCTTGTAAAACTAGGCACCCAGAGGGAATGACGGCATGCGTTTGCAGAGTCTTATAGCTGGGATGGAAACGTGGTGTAAGGTGGGTCGTTGTCGTAAACGGCGGTCAAAACAACAGACGAGGCTCGGAGGAACAAACACTGGAGCGCCGTCTGTTGTTTTGACCACCCCCGCCGTTACAACAACCACCCATATTGAAGCCCCTTTCTATCATAAGGGCAGCTGCCGCATACACCATGGTTCGCGTTACCCACAAAAACTCAACGGGCGCCCTATGGGGTCTCTGGAAGCATTCCCAATTGCTTGTAGTTAACAGAGGTTACGGGCGGCTGTTTTGTCTGTACCAACAATAACAGCCACACAACAACATCAACAGCAACAGCAGAACGGCAGCAGCAGCGGCGGCAGCAGCAACAGCCACAGCAACAGCAACAGCACCAGCAGCAGCAGCAGCAGCAACAACAGCGACAGCACCAGCACCAGCACCAGCAGCAGCAGCAGCAGCAGCAGCAGCGACAACAACAAAGAAAACACACAGACGCAAGAACAACCACAACGACAACGACTGCAATGACAACAAGAACAGCAATGACAACACTATGACAACAATGACAACAACTGCGACGCAATGCGACGCAAACATTAATCACTACAATACTGTTACGCTAATCATCAACATCAGCATCCTTATCATCCTCATCCTCATCTTCATAGCAACAACGCTAAGCTCCTGGAGGTCTGCGGGCAGGCCCTCTGCAATGAGCCACTCTGCCAGCGCCTCTGCGCCAGCCTCGACTCCAGTTCTATCTATCTATCTCTCTCTGTCTCTCTCTCTGTCTCTCTCTCTCTCTCTCTCTCTCTCTCCCCCTCCCACTGTCTCTCCCGCTCTTAAATATTGTGTATGTATGTGTATATACATATATGTATAAATTCAAACTCAACAATATGGTGGAAACCTTTGCCCCCATCTGGGGCTTCTCAAAATTGGGGTTAATCATGCGTTTGCTTTTGCTTTTTGGGGGGGGATCACGCTACTAAGGCGCTGGTCCTACTATTCAGGCTTAGTGTCAGGGTCTTCGTTTCATGAAACTAGGGAATATCACGACTTCGAGCAGCTGGCAGAGTGCTGGGGCCGACGATACCGAATGACTGTTGTCGATTTTGTCCGTTCAGAGTCGGTGCTAGGAGACGGGGTACAATATGGGAGTTTCCGAAAATAGGGGACCATAATGTAGTACCGTAAATAGTAGGATCCTTATCATAAGGATCCCAAAATCATGGTACCCCTAATTTTCGGAAACACCCATATATTCAAGGTTTCTCGCAAGTTGATGCGCGGTGGGGTTTGAGGGTGAAGACTCAGAGAGGAACTGCTGCATGCTGGCAGGAAATCATATTCAATATCTTCAAGCAAAAACCTGAATGTGCAAATCCTGAACACCCTCAACTCTCCGTAGCACAACAAGCCTCAAGGCTCCTCAAGGGATGCTGCGAAGGGTGCATGGCATTGTCAACCTTTTACTCCGAAGAATGGTCGCACGCACGCACACACACACACACACAGCAGGAGGACTTTTAAACTTTGTTGCGTGACCGTTGCATCTACCTTGCAGATGCTGTCAGCAGTCCAACGAAGTCACAAAGGCCGCATCTACCTTGCAGATGCTGTCAGCAGTCCAACGAAGTCACAAAGGCCTGCCCGGCTAAGATCTGGGATGTGCACTTTTGAAGTCAACAACACAGCGATCAAGGATAAAAGATCTTCTGTTACACGCCCGTCGAAGTCTCTTCTGCAGATGCTGAGCAATTCTACTCAAGCGAAGCACACGCATCCCCCTGCTTGGACTTGTCATGACACTAGAAAGAATGCCTTTTCTTGCAAGGGTTCTGGCCTGAATGATCAACCGACACCGTGGGACTAGTGGGATGATACATAGGCGATGCGAAATCCTGCTTACAGACTGCATGACCCTACCTGTCGCATCCTGCTCAAATGCCAGATCCTTCGAGCACCGGCTTTATCAAGTTCAACATTCAGGGAAGGCTCAAAAAACTAGAACTAGAACGCGACAGCGACATAGCCGTCGAGCAGTGCCAGCGACGACACCCTTCGGCACTCCGACGGGTCTCCCTCCAGGCCCATCTGCAGAAAACGTGGGATCGACTGGCCACGAGCAAAGTCTGCCGCGGTCCAATTCCTGGAATTCCGGAGGTTCAGTCTGGCGCCGGCCGCGATCAGAGCTGCGGCGGCCTCGAATTGAGCCGACCTGATGGCCTGCATCAGCGGCGTGCTCCCGTGCATGTGATAGGCTGAAGTCGTCAAAGCCGTCGTCTTCCCGAGCCGGTGCTGCAGGGACTTCGCTGCAAAAAGTAACCGACCCAGTGCCTTGAAGTCCCGTGGCAAGCTCAGCTGAAAATCGACGTCGGCGCGGAAGCTGATCAATTGCTGCACCATTTCTGCCGAGCCACCCCGATACCCCACAGCATCGATAAGTGCGACTGAAAGATCCAGTGAAGATGGGCGACCTTGCCTTACCAGCTCGTCTAGTGCGGCAGAACAGCCTGAACCTGCTGCACACTGCAAAGTGGAAACGCCAAAGAGGTTCCTGGTCAGTGGCCCGGCACCTGACTCACACAGCAGCTGAATTCCCTCACCATTGTCTGCAGCGGCTGCAAGCAGGACAGAGGGGCTGAGCCCGCCCTCAAGGCGGGCTCTTGCTGCGATCAGCAACCATGTGGCCTCGTGGTGCTTGAAGTACAGTGCCAAACCCAGCGTCGACATCCAAGGCGGAAAACCCAGCATCGGCTCATCCTTCGACGTGTGCCGGTTCACGTCAGCCCGCAACTCCAGCAGGCCGCGCAGCACGTCTACGTTGCCGGCCAGTGCGGCATAGTGCAGCGGCCACCAACCCGCGTTGTCGGCCTCACCGACCTTTCCCAAGCCATTTTGGTGCAGGAATTCTGCCACCGCATGGTTGTTTTGGACGGAGCTGGGACTGGGAAGCAGGCCGATCATGGGCTCGATCTGAAACCCTCGTAGGTAGACGGTCTGGAGGTTAAAATGGCGCCGGAATCCCGGAAGGTCGCCAACTCGCAGGCAGTGGTTCAGCTTCTGCACCAGGATACGCTGCATCACCAGAGCCAGCTTGCCTCTGTCTTCCGCGACGGCAAAATCGCCTTCCCCGACGGGCCCGCTCGGAAAGGACCGCATTGTGCCAATCGCTTCCAGGGAGGTTTCACTTCGAATGAGAATCCAAGTATTGTTTGGCGAAAGCTCGCGTGCTGCTCGTTCTAGGCGGCACCAACCCCTGCTGCTCCAGGTCGCTGGTGTTAGCACTTTGCCCTGGAAAGGGCAATCGATAACAGGGCACAGTGCAAAGAAAAATCGGCACCTGGCTATGTAGGCCGGGATGCTGCTGATGGCATTAGCCTGGTGCTGGGAGTTGTCGTCCAGCTGTGGGCATGAGAAATAATCGTACCAGAAAAACAGTGCCTGCATCTGAAAGTCCTTCAAAGGAATGGGCTTGGCAGTTTGCACCAAGGATTCTGTAACGACGTCCAGTGACAGGTAGCCAGAGCTGTTCAGGATCCGCTTCACCGCATCTTGTAGCGTGCGCATCTGCTCGAAGTCGGGATCTGGGTGACATTTGTCAACCCACTGGTGCGAGACGAAAACAGCACTCCCTAGGTCATCACTGAAGACGACGAGCTCATTCCTTGCCTTCGGATCGGGATCGAACTTTGGGGTCTGGAGGGCTTCGAGTTTGACTTATTGTTGAGGGTTCCAGCAGCTGCAAGAACAAGTACGAGTACATAGCATCGGTATGGTACCGGGGTTACTACAGCGTCATAGGCCTGGAAGGGGTGTTACAATAGATCTCGAGACGCGGCCGGCGCTGCTCTGTGAAAAGAAACGACTTTTGTAGTCGAAAATCTGCACCACGCCAAAGGGATAGCTGCAAAACCGGTTCTCAATATACGGGGAAACCAAGAAGGCTCGATTAGAACCATGCTCACCAACAGACACATCCTGACCAAGGACTCCATGGGGCTTTGGGGGTTCCTGATTGTAACTATAGTATGTATAATATACCCCCAAATCCTATTCTGATTATTAAGGCCCCGACATTTAATTTACCCTAAGGCCCCAAAGTAGTCCCTTTTTGGGGTTCATATTTAGAATCCTTTAAGCTTGGGGGCCTATGGGGAGTTCCGGCCTTCAACGTCTCGTGCGCCTCCACCCTCGTCATCTTTAGCAGCACATCCGTTGCGACGGTGTGCATGGGGAAGAGAATCGGAACGTCCTGCGCATCCCCAAGCCCAAGAAACCCACGGCGCGCAGACCACACCCCCGATGGCTCTCGTGCTCGCACCTTTACTACCACAAAACAGACACCACTAAATGGCTAAGGCAGGACTCCTACTGCACATCTATACTGACATATTGTGCGATGCCGAGCGGCATCTGCTGCGTCGGGCAAGGATCGGCCATGGAGTTCTAGCGGCGTCCGGTGCTTTCCGAAGATGCAGGAGGACATCAGATCACCATGGGCGACGAGGTGAAACTGAAAACTTGATGGAGAAGATTCTGGGAGTTTGGACTGAGAGGCTTGAGTGTTTCTGGCTTAGGGCTCACAGTCGCTACGGTTCAGGGTCTGAGACAAACAATGAAGATGTGGTATCTTTAAGAAGGTGCCCCTGCTGGTCTCCGTAGCTTCCCACAGCTACGGAGACGGTCTTTCTCGCTCTCACACGGCGCAAAACGCAGAAGCCAGAACCGGCAAATTCCAAGATAAGGCTGTCTGGATTTTTCCAGTGTCTTTTAGATATTTATATGATAATAATAGGAATAAGAATAATAATGATAATGATATTACTAATAATTTACCTGTAATTTCATCGGTAGATGGAAGACATTTTGCATCACTTGGATAATAATGGATATTGGGATGCAGAGTTGAGTTGCAGGTCTTAAGGGTGCTTGGGGTTGAGGGTTCAATATGTAGACGATACGACTCGTTATGTAGTTGGTGTAGAGCTCTCCCTAAACCCGACGACACTTGAAACTAGCCAGCGTGTGCCATGTGATCACGTGCTCAATAGGTTTGTGTGCCAGCTCGGTCGCACGCACCACGGTAGTTTGGCCGCTTTGTGCTTTGGAATCTGGGGTAGTTGTCTAAGATAGGATCCCGTCCCAAAAATACTATGGCACCCGTAGAAGCAGGACCCTGCTAGGGACCCTAAGTTAGAGAACTACCCATTTTGGGCGAAGCTGAGTAGGTCCCGCATTGTAGGGTTGTGGGGCTTGTAGGGTTATAGTTATGGTCGAACGAGGGAGAGCCCCTTTCGCAAGGTAGTCCACCGTAGATAGAAGTAGAACCTTGTGCTCCACACCCATACCTTAAATCGTACTAGGGATCCTTTCATTATAGTTTATATTATATTCCGCATTTAAGGGGTTTCGAACTCTCTGGGTATATCCAGGCTCTGAGGGTCAACCCCCTTAGCCGATGCGGGGAGCGAGACACAGAACCATCAACGTCCAAACCCTAAACCCTCATCCCAAGACCCTCAACATCCCGAAACCCCCCAACCCCAGTCCCTAAACCCCTCAACCCTCATCCAACATCTCGCCCCACCTTCTGGGACCACCCTTGGCAACGTGACTGACACTTGAACCCGAAGAATTCGCGAAGCTCGAACCATCAACCTCACCCTAAACCCTGATTCCGAGCCCGACCCCATAAGCCCGTGAATTCCATGGATGGCCTCGCAAGCGCACATTGCTGCACTGCGGCCGCCAGGAGCCTCTCAAACGAGACCCCGAGTAGCCCTTCAAGGTTGAGGATTTCGGGCAACGAAGGTCTAAACCCTAAACCCTAAACCCTAAACCCAAAACCCTAAACCCTACCTCGAGGGGTTTAGGGTGTCGGGTTACTAAGGTTACTAGGGTTCAGGGCTTCGGGTCACCAGGGCCGAGGACTGACGATCACGGTCAGACACGACAAAATGCCACACGATCTGAAGTTACTTTAGCTTTTGGGTTTCTTCATGAACTATATATATGTATGGTTCATATGAGAAAAACTATTCGGCTGAGCAATATAAGAAGAATAGAAGTAACCCCGACCATGCTCTGCAGGGCTTGACTTGACAAGAGGGCAAGAAAAATCAAATGGGCGAGACCAGGCATGGTGGGATAGTACTCAAGCAGACAAGCAGCAGGAGCGACGGGGATCAGATCAAGCAAGGCATAGATTGAAATATCGTTACAAGAGCCAGAAGGTGCTGCACTGCAGAACATAACGCGCGGACTGGAACAAAAGGTCGCCCATGCAAAAGGTTTTAGCAAAGCAAAGCAGAAAGGATGACACAAGACGAATCAGGAACGGCCAGTCGGCAAGATGGTAAGACTGCCTAGGTAGGAGAAGATGATGGCACACTCAAAGTAACATGACGGGCTGCAGCAGGTAGGTCGGCTACATATACTGTAGCGCACCGCATAATGAAACCCAGGATACTGTAGTTCTGTGTTACGCCAGAATCCCCAAAAAGCACGTTTTCGGATTTACAAAATTTCACACTACCAAAGCCAAACAAATCCATGAGTCGTGGACCCCAAACCCTACACACATCATCAGGGACCGAAAGCCTTTACGAAAAAGTGAGTCCTAAACACTGCTTAGGTGGTCCTAGATACATCCCTGAAAAAACTTACCTTGGGCTAGTAGGGAATGGAAGAATGGTAGTAATAGTAAGTATAATTATACCCCATTCCTCCATTCCCTACTAACCAAAGGTAAGAAAAACCGTCTGCCTGGAGCACCAGGGACGCTTCAAAGACGTCGACTAGGGCCATCGCTGCATCTGCATGCCTCGCTGCTTGGACTTTACTTGGAGGATCATGGGACTTAGTAACTAGGGTTATACAAAAGGTAACTATACTTATAACTCCAATTAGGGTACTTATAACCTTACTTACTAAGTCCCATGATCCTCCAAGTAGCTTTTTCTCGGCTTTAGTCGGACATTGAAGGGGCATCACTGATCAGGAAAAATGCTTTAGGGTGCGTCACGTGTTCAATATCTTCGGGAGCACAGAGGAATTATGTTACAAAGTACTGAGGCCTCTCGTAATGGCTTGGGAGCAAGCAATTCAGGATAGAGGGCGTAGGGCTCTAGGAACGCAACAAACCTTTAGCCCTGTCAATCCTAAACCCCGGACCCCAAACCCACTGCGGATTTGGGATTTTCAGGGTGGGGCTTCCGAGCCCAGGTTCTGAGGTTTCGTGGCTACGGCTGTGCTGCTGCAACTGTCCCCAAAAGGCTCGGGTCTGGGGCTCAAGGTCGCGATTCGGGATCTTCAAGCATGGAGCCCCCCCAAACCCTAAACCCCTGAACCCTAAACCCTAAACCCTAAATTTTCGAATCGATTGCCGTGGGTTCTTCAGGACCTCTGCCCATTCTGAGTCCTAGACCCGAGAGGGTGCGGGGGATGGTTCAGGTTTTTGTGGGGTGGGACCGGGAAGCCTAAATCCCAAACTGTATATTGTCGTAAATTTATTATACACTGCATACAGTAGAATACTGTGTGTGTGTATATATGTGTGGATATATAGTATATAGTATATAGTAAAAAATGTATATAGTATAATGTGTATATATATATATAATGCAACCTAATATAGTATAGTATAATATAGTACTACAACCTAAAATAGTATAGTATAACATAGTACAATATAATATAAGATAAGATAATATAATATAATATAATATAATAATAACAATAATAATAATAATAATAATAATATATTATACACCTGTATTTGGCCACAAGATGCTTTGTCAGGCAGGCGATGTGCAACGGCGTATGGCCTTCAAAGTCGCCCTGAGAGCAAAGCTTGCCAAGCTTTAGTGCTTAGTTTTGGGTGGTTTAGGGTTTAGGGGGTTTAGGGTTTAGGGGGTTCTGCTCAAAGTTTGAAGGTAGTCGTGCTAAATGACGAGTGGTAAGTTTTAGGCAGTAGTGGTGGTACTGGTGGTACAACCGGTGGTAGTGGGAGTTGTATTGCAGCGGTCGCAGTCCCGATGGCCGTTGCCGGATGGTGCTAGTAGTATAGTGGCATGGGTCGTGGTGGCAGCGGGAGCGGTACTGTCAGTGCTGGTGCCAGTGCCAGCGCGAGTGCTAGTGCTGTAGCTATTGCCGGCGCGAGTTTTAGTGCCTAGGTGGTAGCGGTAGTCGCAATTATTGGGTTCAAAGCCTGAACTTGACCGCTGCGTTTGGGCTTCAAACAAAAGGGTCGATGAGAAGTGGTAGTGAGGTAGTGGTAGGTGGACGCAGTCGCAGTGGTAGTTGCGAGGAGGTAGCAGTAGCAGTAGCAGCAGCAGGAACGATACCCGTAGCAGTAGCGTAGCAGGAGCAGGAGCAGCAGCAATGGCAGCAGCAGCGGCAACAGTAGCAGCAGCGGCACACCGACAAAGTACAGCCGGAAAGAACCATGAACAACAGCTACAATCACGGGCGCTGTTACAATCACGATGGTCGCAATGGCAACCGCGCTGATCGCGTTCCTGAGGGGCCACTATCATCACCATCCGCATGATCACTGTCCTCACTATCATCACCGCCTTCGTCACGATCATCAACATCACCATCGCCATTACACCAACATCATCGCCGTCTTTCAGTATCATCAGATCCAGACAACCCGCCTCGATAGCTCGACAATTCACGGAGGTACGGCCCGTCTCGAGGAGGGCACTCGCCTCCCAACAATCAAAAGGGTTTTTGGGTCGAGGTTTCAGGGTTTCGTGCATTGCGGTAGTAGCTCAAAATTCTCCGCTGTTGTGTTCGTAAGCGTAGTGTCGGGCCATAGGAAGAACCGCAGGTGGTGCATGCTACACGGCAATGTCATTTCGGGACGCAGAAGGGCTGGCAAGTATCGTTGAGGCATCGGCGCTGGGGCGCTTAAGGCGTTTGGCTTTACTTTGTGTTTGCATTGGCTGCTCCCCACTCCAAGCAGAAATCCGGGTTTTTGAATCTTCCAACAGGTCCTCTATTGCAGCTTCCGAAACCTTAGGGTCTTCAAGCCTCGACTCCAAAACACAACAGCAAGCCTTTCAAACCCTATAACCAACCCCATAAACCCTATGACCCACCCTATGAACCCTATAACCAACCCTCTATTCCCTACAGTACAAGCTCTATAGGCCCTGAACCCCCCTTGAACCCTAAACCCTCTAAACCCCAAACCCTCTAGACTCTATAAACCCTAAACCCTCTACTCTAAACCCTTTATAATATAAACCCTCTAAACCCTACAAACCCTCTAAACCCTATAGACCCTCTAAACCCTCTAAACCCTCTCAACCCCCTAAACCCCATAAACCGCTAAACCCCATAAACCCTCTAAGCCCTACAAGCCCTCTAAACCCAAAAAAGCCCTACTGTAAACCCTCGGATTCCTCAACCCTGAACCCTAAGCCCTAAACCCTAAAACCCTAAGACCCTAAACCCTCAACCCTGAACCCTGAACCCTGAACCCAAAGCCTCCCATAGGTCGCCGTTGGCCACCGCCTCCGCCAGGCGCTGCGCGGCCTCCGCGTCCTCCCCGGGCCCCCCTTGTGGGGGGGACCCGCTGGAGGCCTTCTGGAAGAGGGGCCTTGGGATAGATAGAGATAGATGTAGATAGATAAAAGGTAGACAAACATAGGTAAAGAGAGAGAGAGAGAGAGAGAGAGAGATATATATATATATAGATGGATGGATAGATAGATAGCTGGATAGTTAGATAGATTTAGATAGATACAGGTAGATGTAGATACATATAAATCGATGCAGATAGATAGATCGATAGATAGATAGGTCAAGATAGATATAGACAGATAGGTAGATAGATCGTAGGGCCGGGTTGAAGGCTTTTTTGGGGGACCCGGGGTGGGGACTTCGAGCTAAGAACTTAAGGCCTTGGCTTTTTGATTTAGGGAGTAACAGTATAAAGCGTAGAGGTTCGGGGATTTAGGGTGTGCAGCTTGGGAGAGTTGACTTTGAGCCTTAGGACTTCAGGGCATGCGGATGATGGATGCTTCGCATCACGTAAAAAAAATCGGAAAGCAGATGCTCAAAAAAGCCTCAGCGGCCGTGAGCTCCGAGCCATGATGGACAGCTGAAGGAAGATTTCAGCCGCGCTGAGGTCGTAGGTCTTCTCTTGGCCCAAAGGTGCCACCAGCTTGAATGGCTGTGGCTTCCCGGATGCCTCGGTCAGGTGCGGGTCTCGGAGCACGGCGAGGCGCTCCAGTGCACTGCGGCTGCTCTGCAGCAAGGCCCGCCAGCCGGCGCTGACGTCGTTCTGTGGTGAGAGCGCATCCAGAAGCCGGAAGGAGCAGTGCCCTAAAAAGTCGTCACTGACCACAACGTCATAATCCAGGACACGGATGTAGATGAAGAGCTCACTTACGTCAGCTCTGGCCTTTAAAGAGAAGTAGTATGCTTCGTCCCACTGAGGGGTCAGAGACCCCCGGACGATTCTGGAAGTGGTCTTCCACAAAGTTCGGTCGAAGATCTTGCCGGAGGCGCTTTTCACCTGAACCCGAAGGGAAGGAAATGGAGCTGCAGACCTCATACTACAGCACTTCCTACGACTGGTACCACGCGTTGGTGCTGCTGTTACAAACATTTCTGCAATTGGCAATTGTAATCAGAACATGAGGCGGGAGTTTCTTTAGTGATGACGACAGAATCGCAACAGTAGCAGCTGTGACAGAAAGACAGAAAGACGAGCAAACGCACGTGGAGCCAAAGGCAACCCAGGTCACGGCAATTTTATAGTACAGGCATGGGTTTGTGACCCCGTGAGGAAGGACATAACTTGTCAAGACCATGCAAGTGGCAATCATTCAAGATGCCCAAACCCCATGCCCTAAATCCTGAGCCCTAAAATCGTCACCTAAATCCTAAATATCCTAAACTCGAAACCCCTACATCCTGAATCCGAAACCCCAAATCCAAAATCCCAGCTCCTAAACCCTAAATCCCAAAACCTAACTTCCCGAGACCCCAAGACGCCTCCTTCTTGGAGAGGACTCCCTGAGCCAATGGGTCGCAGGGCATGAGACGAATCTCCACATAGGGGTCCGCCGTTCCCATGAAGTCGGCCTGGAAGAGAGCGCAGGTCGGCGCAGAGCGGTTAAGGGTGGTTTAGGGCTTTAGGGTTTTAGGGCTTACTGGGTTCCAGGGTTCAGGGTTGAGGGTTCCGGGCTTCGGGCTGTCGAGCGTACACGGGTCTGGGGGTCCCTTTTTCGCTGCTTCGTTTCGGGCTGAGCATTCGGTTCGGGTTTCGGGTGAACTAACTACGCAGTATGCCGTGGTGCCGTCTGACGCGACCGTAAGTCTTACTCCACAACACTAAGAAGCCCGGATCCTTCCGCCTGGGGCAGACCCACTGCTTTGTGCAGGAAGAAGCAGATCTCCACCTTCGCTGTGGGGCTTTATTGGGGTTCGCGCAGACTTTCGGTGTTCAGGGTTTAGAAGTTCGGGCTTTCGGGGCAAACTCACATGCAACACTAACTAGTACCCTACGTCCTGAACTCTTATCACAACACTGAACCCTACACCGTGCCAGCGATGCTACACCCTCACCGTCCCTATAAATTGCAAGTAAACTTCAACGCACTCCAAATCTCTGTCGGAGCTGCTATAGTGTAGTTTGAGTATAGAGGGAGAAATTGAGTGCCCTGACTGAAAGGCTCAGGGTTCAGGGTCTTGGGGGCTTTACTGTTCTTATTTTTACTGTTGCTGCTACTATTATTCTTATTACTACGAGTACTACTACTACTACTACTACTACTACTACTACTACTACTACTACTACTACTACTACTACTACTACTACTACTACTACTACTACTACTACTACTACTACTTCTACGACTATTTTCAAGCAGGGTGTAGCGTGCAGGGCTCCAAGGTTTCACTTGTAAACTCGAGTTTAAAGTTCAGGGTTTCGTGCACTACGGCCTTAAAGGCTGCTGGGGTCGAGGGCTTCGGGGTGCAATATCAGTGATTTTGGCACCTGAGAAGTTACCTATATCATTCCCTAGGATTTCTGACTAATTAAGACACTCAAAGTTATTACTGTATAAAAACAACACCAAATGCCACTATTCTGGATATAGTAGCTGCAGCCTAGAAAGATTGAACCAGCGAGATGCTAAGCCAGGAACAGAATAAGGCCAAAGCCTCAAAAACGAGCCGAAACTGTCGGAAAACTGCCTAACTCGCTACCCCACACCGTCAAACCACCAGAGAGCTCTAGATCTGAAACGCACATACCTTAAACCCCCAACAGCAGAAGTCTGAGAACGAACCTACTCCCACATGTCAGGTAGACGGAGCTCTTTGAAATGGGAGCGTGTACATCAAGCACCAAGTTTTCATCCCATCTCACCCGAAACCGTTTCCAGAGCTGAGGGTTGCAGCTTAACCTAACCCTGCGGCTTGCATTCTCTATAAGGGAAGGCCCTCAAGTATGCGATGCTACACGCTACCCCCACAAGTGCGAGTAGCGCTGCAGTTCCCACCCCCTTATACGTAAGCCCCACAAATCCTAAGACTCACCCCTCGCCACCACCCCCGCCGTCCCTATGATAATTAACAGCAAGGACCAGGAGACAATGACAGTGGAAAAGAGAAATAAAAAGGATGCCCCAAAACCCCTGCACCTCCTCCTCACCGACGGTCGGCGGGCTTGGGGCGGCCGAACCCTCTGCCTCTGCCGCCTCCTTGCAGTGGCTAGGTAGGCTTTAACCTTGAACACGGGTTTAGGGGTTAGTTGCGGGGTCTAGGTGTTTGGGTCCGCGGCTTAAGCTTTACCGGTTCGGGGTTTCGTGATTCGGTTTGCAGGACTCCACAAGACCTTGTAGGACGTTCGTGGGGCTCGGGTTTACAATCTGCTCAGCTCGAACTCATGATGCTAAGTCTTATGCTAGAGATCTCATGGTGCAGACTTCTCCCAGCACTCACCTTCCGACAGCGAAAGCTGTAGCTCACAGCGATTGAATCAGTCCCGGACATGGGGCTGCTGGGGATGTCAGTTCCCCTAAACCCTAAACCCTAAACCCCTAAACCCTAAACCCTAAACCCCAAACCGTTCGACAAAGGCCGAAGTCTCCAGTCCGCATTCATAGCCCGAGTCACGAACCATGTCCACAAAAAAGACTCCAAAACCTAGGCTCTATGTATATATATGAATATATGAATATGAATATAAATATCTAATACTAGTATTGCCATTATAGGACCCCGGTTTTAAACCTTCAACTCCATCCCGCCACGAGTCCTCCTGCTGAGCCTCCAGGGCCATCGGCCGAGGTAGGCGATCTTGCTGCCGGACCCGGGCCACTTGCCTCGCAGCTTCCGCTTTGGGCTCAGTCAAGCGTGTAGGTTTTAAGGTCCTTAGCGGGCGTACGGCTTTAGTTTCACTTGCTGATGGAACAGGAACGAGGGCAGGGGACTAGGCTCAGTCCTGTGCATATTTGTGCATATTCAGCAAGCATCTTGTCGTTGAAGGACCTCGCAGGAATAACTCCCAGCTGAACAAAGATCCGACTCCACAACCGCAGTGGTACAACGCTTGTTACTGGTTTGCGGTTCACAGACTCGATCCATTTCGCAGTGATGGAATCCCTACCCACGCCTCCGCCGCGAAGTCGGATCATCGGCGCAACCTTGTGAAATAAACGTGCAGCATCCAGTGGTTAGTGCTTGGGGATTGAGCCTTCATTGGTAACTTGCCGGTTCCACAACAACAACACCCTAAACCCCAGACCCGAAACCCATAAGCCACAAAAAGGTTGTTAAGGCTGCTGCGTCCCAAAAAATGCATTTCTGCGGATGTAGTGCTTAGGGGTGGGGTTCTGTGCTTCGGGTTTATTCATTCTTTGCATGCCTCGTCGTCAAAGTCTGTCTTGGTCTGGGTTAGGAGTTCCCAAAACATGATGCATGCATCCATCTCTAGAGTATCCTGCCAAGTCCAAACTTCCGCCCCTCACTCGTTGGCCCCAAGGCCCCCAAGGTCGTCTCAAGCTTCATGTTCAGGCTCAAAAAAGTTACAGGCCTGAACAGGGGAACCTGTCTGGCCTTCGAAGTAGCCAGGGGCAAAAACCAGGGGGGAAGAAAGTGAAGACCTTTATTTCGTAACCGTTCCCTTGTTTAAGTAACAAGTCCCCCCAAGAAAATTATTAACGTATGGTGGTACTCCAAAGCCCAGTTGAGACCTAGAACTGAACTCAGCAAATCCCAAATACCAGGCCATACCCGGTTCGGCTCGGAAATAACCTTTAAACAGAACATAACACTATATGTGACTGTATCCCATGACCTTGCTTCTCAACATAATGTAGGGCCTTAATAATTAGAATAAGGTGTTGGGGTATAGTATACCATAATCATGATGAGAAACCACCAATGCACTACTTTGGTAATTATTGAAGCCCCTATATCATAGAACCCTACTATGGATCCATCATAGACCCCTTGAAAGGACCCCTTAAAGGAACCCCCATAATAGTATAGGTCATTATTAAGGTAATCTTTAAGGGCCCTACAGTATTACCCCGCTGCTACCCGAAGGTCTTTGCCCAGGTGCAGACATCGCAGCAGCCTGTTGCACCCGAGCCTCCACAGTAGCAGTCGAAAGAGGCTTTACCCTAAGGCCCTAAAGTAGTTCCTTTCTGGGGTTCATATTTAGAATCCTATTAGGTAATCCCAAAGAGGAACTACTTTGGGGCCTATGGGTATTGCTTGGGGTGTAGAATTTTAGGCTTTATAGGCTTTAGGGCTTAGGCTTTTCTGCTTTTGGGATAAGGCTTACGGTCACAAAAATTCACGTGCCCAACGCAAAGCGGACCAACAGCACTGAACCAGAAACGCACCGTGTACCCTTGGTAGCAATGCCGTTAATACATACTAGGAATGCTGATAATACTCGTTGACAACACCGATAACTGACGGGGTGTTCTGGGGTGGTTGAAGGACGGAAGGATATGAGATGTAATCTTTAATGCTTCCCATTTCCTGAAACTCTCAACCAGACGGCTTTATGAGACACGGCGAGCTGTCTCCAGCAGTCTCAGTCAAGGAAGTTCGTTAGACAACCTCTAGAAACAAAAAGATACCTCTACACTTTAAAACCTGAATCTTAAACTCTTGCACATCCAAGACAGGCCCGGTCACGATCTGCTGTCCGTGCAGCCGCGCGTGCAGCCACAGCGGCGCCCAGGACAACTTTGCTGTCCACCTCTGGCGCATGTGCGGAGTTGCTCGAACTCCAAGAGTCTTGAAGTCCACGGTTGAGCGCTTTGAAAGGGTTTTTCCGGGGCTGACAGCTGTTTTACAAAGGTTAGGGTCCAGGGGGTACTGGCCCTTAGGCTCGATCGTGTGTTCACCCACAAACCTGCATTCATCAAAAGATGGTTGAGTTCCAAAAGCTGTATACTGCCTCTACGCTGGGTGTCGAAATGCAGGGCAACCTGCTTACAAAGTCGCCATGGCTCCCAGACATGTGCGAGGCAATCATACTGTGTCATAACGCATGCTGACAGTCGTCGAAGCACATGCACATCCTGCCCCAAGGATAAAAAAAAAAGAAAAATGAAATGAAGCACAAGAGCCCAAACAACCCAAACAAATGCCAGCTGACCTGGACCAAACGTTTAACACGGTAACCCTTGAGAATCAAAAGGCTCACTGCCATTCCTGTCCAAGCCGCTGATCTGGCTGGCGTCGATACAGTTTGGCACATGAACATAGGCTTAGGTTTCAGGACTACGGTTTAGGGTTTAGGTTCTAGGTAACAACTTGGGGGTGCGGCAATGATTGGTTTTACTCGTCGAGCCTTGTGTGTTGAAATATACAGTTATGACAAAAGCGCAAAACATGAACATGCGAAGTAGCGTTGAGGGCACTGAGCACCTGCTCAAAGGAAACACCACGATGGCTTCCTCTCTGTCATTCCCCGGACCCAATCATATGTGATGGAGAGGTTACTCCAAATGAGAGTCCTTGGTCGGGTCCTTACTACAGCACCCTCGTTTACATTACATCATCACGTGCCCTGACAGCTGCTATGCTGTAAGACACCTAAAGACCCTATCTAGCCTCATACCATCTTGTCTGGGCAATCCATACTTGCAGGGCTCCTCCGCACTTCTCTACGCGGGCCATCTTTTTGGGCCAGAAAGCTGCGAAACCGGACGATGGAAGCAGGTCGTCGGGAAGTGGAGGCTTTGGAGCCTCTGAGTCATTCGTACGTTACGAGACTATCAGAATATATCATAGATTATATGTTATATATATATATATATATTAAATATTATATAGTATATATTGTATATTGCGTACATATATATATATATATATATATGTATGCAGATCTTCTTGTAAACCGTCAACAACACCTCGAGCTGCAATACATCAGAAGCATAAAAGGATGAGGCAAGGAAGCATGAGGGTTCAGGTTTCTTAAATATTGGGTGATATTGGGTTTATATAGGCTTTAAGGACAACTTCCTAACAGCCTCGCTCAGAGCTTACATAATCAGCGGCTCATGCTTCTCCGTGACAGTCTGCGTAGCCTTGCCAAATGTCATTACGCAAAACCAGACGTGGCCCCCCTCGGAGGAGTCTGCATCGCCTTACATCTTGCCAGTCCAGGTGGCCCCATTCACATTAGATTCACATTTAGACGTCGACTGCTGCTACTGCTGTAAGAATACAAAAGACAATAATCAGAACCATCAACCCTAGAGCCTAAACCCTCTTCCCCTCCAAGACCCACAGAACCCAAAGCCTGAGTGATGCTAAACAGGAGACCGAAACTCATCAAACAAAACAGGCCTGAAGACTGAAGTTGAAGCACCCCAAACCCCAAAGCCCAAATCCCAAACCGTGAACCCTAAATGCTTGACCCTTGGGCCACCCACCTACTGCTGGTGGGCGGCGCTCAAGCCCCTCGCAATTGATCGCGACAAGCCTGCCCTATATATAGACCCTAAACCCTACAAACGACAGCATGCCCCATCCTGTGGAAGCACTGAGGGTGCTCCGCAAGACTGCCACCGGCTGCTGAGTGACCTCGGCTGCCGCTAGCTGCCAGAGCAATGGACGGCTATGGGGTTGACGTTCTGGCTACGGGTTCGGGGATTGCTTACGCAGGCCTTTGGTAGTGTAGGATTTAGGGTCCAGGGTTCAGCAGAACGCGTGCTTCAATGCCAATCGAGCATTTCTAGTTGGAGTACAAGATCTCAGCATGCGTGACGTGATGCAGAATGCCCGTACATGGCATTCCCCCGCCCTTAGAGTCGACCACGCAGTTCAATGGCCATGCACCCCCCGCCCCCCTCCCTAAAACCTGTTTTTGGCTTCCGAAACCCCAGAACCCCCGACCCCCCGGCCCCCTGACCCCCAGCCCTCTTCTGTCCGTGAATCTGCGAATCTGCCAAGCGGGCCTTGATTGGAGACCGGTCTTCCATTTGCGACAGGCTGAGGCGGACGATGCGAAGCTTTACGGTTGCAGCTGCGGCCTTGATAATTAGAATAGGGCTTGGGGGGATCATATACTATAATATCGTACGAGTAAGGACTGCAAGGTTCGTCCGACCGAGGTCGACACCACTGGATAAGTCGTCCGAGGCGTCCCAGTTCGAGGCCCAGGAGGAGGGCAGGGGATTACTTGGAGGATCATGGGACTTAGTAACTAGGGTTAAAAATAAGGTAACTAGACTTATAACTCCAATTAGGGTACTTATAACCTTACTTGGGGTGCAAGGCTGTTGACCTTGGGCCACGGGCTGATTCCGAAACGCAATTGTGGTCCTACGCGAAGGGCAAGAGCCAAGGCTCTCAGGTGCTTAAAGTGTAGAAAACTATGACTCAACTAAATTTCCTCGTCTGCAGGCTTCCAGAACCTAAATCCTAAACCAAACCCAATTCGAACTCCCTCTATGGGCGTGGCGACAGTCACTCGTCTGTCGGGTGGCCAGTGTGCCTGGACAGGGATGCACATGATTGATGGTTTCGGTTTAATACTTTGAATACTATATATATATATAATATATATATATATATATATATATTTATTTATTTATTTATATTTATAATATATTATAATATATATATAATATAAAAATATTAAAAGCAAGTTCTGGGCCTTCAGGGCTTAGGATTCACGAAGACTCAGGCGACATGCGCGCTCCAACGTTGGGGCTTGGGTTTGGGAATGGAGGTTTCGGGGCTACGGCTAATGGTTGCAAGGATCTTTGCTTACGACGCTCAGGCTGTCGGAGTTCAGGGGACATCTGTCACAGACCCCTGCTCTACGGCAGCATCCCAGGTCCTAGGATCGTTCAGGCTCTAGGCGGAGTGCAGTGTAACTCCGAGTACCCCTAAACCCCAATCGAAGCCTAGATCTCTAAACCCCAAAAATGCCCTAAACCCTAAACCCTAAACCGGCAGAACCCCCAAATATCCGTGCAAGCAAGTTCTGCAAGGCTCTCCGCGCCTGCGCTGCTTGACCTGGTGCTGTGGCTGGCATGGTGGCTGGCATCGTGGTGGCCGCATGCACCTTGGGATTAAAAGCGGGGCCTTAATAATTAGAACGGGGTTTGGGGCATTTTGCTATATTTATAATAAGGAACCCCGCAAAAATATTTATAGGCCCCTATAATAGGGACTGGGAGTTCGCGGCTTAAGCTTCCGAGCTTAGGACTGGGGAATTGGGTTTAGGCAATACTTGGAGGGTCGGGGGACTTAGTAACTGGTTCTTTTAAGGACTTATATGTACAATAACCCCAATTAGGGTCCCTTTTGGGGTACTTATAAGTCTACCTCCTACCACCCTTGTCAACCTCAGCCTTTCTCCGATCCGTGCCCGCAACCTAAAAACCCCCCGCCCCAGATCCCCAAACCCCAAAATTCAGCAAAATCGCGAAAATTCCGAGGACCCTAAACCCCAAAAACCCTAAACCCTATCTGTCCGAACTTCCTACATCCTGAAACGCGGAACCCGAAGCCCCTCTCTGAGCTCAGCGCGACCACCGGCCGCGAAAGCCCTGCCTGAACCGTCCAGTCGGCAACAAAAAAACGCTGGCTCCCTCTGGGGTGAAACGTTTCGGGTATCGGGCTTCTTCAAGCTGTATGCTTCAGGGAATTGCATCATGAACAGCTTTGTAGGCCGTACCGGTCGACTGCCATCTAGGCGAGCTTGCAGTCAGCTAGCACGACAAACTCCAACGAATGTATCCATCAGAACATTGCTAGAACGTTCCTGCCAGTACCTTCGGCTGTGTTTGCCAAGCTGCCGCATCGAATCACAACTAGAACAAACGTGCTCGTAAACCCTAAACCCATCCAGTTTTGCTTGTTGACTATAGGGGCCTTGGCAATCAAAACGGGTGTTGGGGGGGTATATCATATAGTCCACTCCGACAACCCTAACCGTAAACCCGAACCCTACTGCACACTAAACCTTCAGAAGCTATACATCCTGAACCCTGAACCCTTACCCTTACCCCAGCAACGACGCTTGCACATCCTAATAAACCCAAGAACCAGCCGGTCCTGCCCAGAAAATACTGGTGTAGATGAAGCTGCCTGAGCGGTGCGTCGAGGAAGAGTCACGGCTTTGCATTGCCTTTGGCCCCTTTCCCGAGTGCCAATCTGGAGGAACTCCGTTTGGCGTCTCTGCTGCAGTCCAGTCGTTGTTAAGAGTTTTGGAGTGAGGTTCTTGGCTTCAGGCTTATAGGTTCAGGTTGTTTAGCTTTTAGCGTCGGATTTGGAAAGGCTGCGTGTTGAGAATGCAAGTTGAGGAGGTACGTACAGATCTGGGCCTTAGGATGTACGGCAGTTTAGGTTTCGGGCGGCAGGTAAGCTACCGCAACTGCCACGACTACTTCTTCCTCCTCCTCCACCACTACCTCTACCACTACGACCACTGCTGATACTGCCACGACGACTGTTACTGATTATGGTTCTTCTTCTCTTGTAGTCCTCGTGCTGCTACTGCTGCTGCTGCTGTCGCCACTACCAGAACTGAGACCACTTCAAGTCGTACGTCGTACGGGTATCCCCAGCAGCTCCATCGTCGTCGACATGATCATCTTTGCTGCTTGCACTGCCGAGCAGGTCAAAAAAAGGGGCCTGAACATAATTGATTATGCTACTTTTCGGGGTTCCATATTATAAATATGGTCTAATGTACCCCATACCCCCCCCCCTCTTGGCCGAGCACATGAGTCGGTGTTGCCGGATTCGGCGGCACCGCCTCAGCCGTATGCCCTACCCCAACCCTGGAGCCCCCCTCAGCCCCAAACCTGCCATGGCCGTTTAGGATTCAGGGTGTAGGCTGCCTGAGAAGCCCGTTAGCCCTAAACCTTCTGCTGGCAACAAGCCATTCAAAATCTCAGCAAGCCTAGTTATGTTAAGCCGGATCTTGTGTTTCAAGTCGAATGGTTTGCTTGTTCGTCACCGATGTTGAAAGGCACCTCAAAAGTGGATCAACCAAACGGAACCAGATGCTAACGTAGCTCACTTCTCGCTTAAACTGATGGCCTATGGCGATTGAAATATTCTTCGAATGCACACTTTGCATAAATACCTCAGCACGTGCAATATTGAACAAACGTGGTTGAAGTTTGTCCTGCCGCATCAGTGAAGAACAAGTCGGCCTCTTTTTCGCTTTGAAGTCCTTACAGACGCGGACTACCGGCGAAACTACCATGCCCAAACCCAAAAAGCCCTGAAGTCGTTCAGACCATAAAACCTGAAACTCTGAATCCTAAGACGTTCCACTGAGGCATCCGGCTGGGTAGATGCCGCTGCCGTACATGAGCCCTAACGTCCTCGGTTCGATTTCAGGTTTCAAGTTTAGGGTTTTGGGTTTTCGGGTCCAGGGCTTTGGGTTTATCGAGGTTGAAAGTCTATAGGGCTCAAGGCTTAGGGCCAACACTCTCAAACTCTTCGTTTAGATGTCTACGGTCCTCAATCATCTGGAGATTTTCTGCACCGCGACCCATTCTTTCCCCCATGACATGGCCTGAAGCTTACCTTCGGTTAGTAGGGAATGGAAGAATGGGGAACAATTATAATTACTATTACTACCATTTTTCCATTCCCAACTAACCAAAGGTAAGGAAGGTGTAGACCCCCAATCCCTTTGCCGCAAGCAGTCCCAGTCTTCGGGTACGCTCAGATGGTTCCGATGGTTTCCCTGGCCCACACCGTGGGAGCAAAACACCTTCCAAATGTTGGGTGGAAGCATGCAAGCAGCAGGCCCCGTTCCTCAACAATCTGGGCAACCCAAACCATGCGAAGTCCCAAGGAGCAGGTGCAGGACACGACTCGTCTTCTTTTGCGGTCACGGGAGTAGCGTCTTCAGTGGACGAGCGCGCTCTCGCCAGTACTTGAAAGCAAACTTCTGGATCTCTTGTGCTAGGGCCACAACTTCTTCGAATCCTTGTTGTCCAGGTTGCAAGCACAGGATACGTGAAATTGATCCTTCTTCTGAACCGACAAGCGAGACCAGGGCCCCACGAACTTCTGCGAACTTCTCGCACGACAACAGCACGTGGGCCAACGGACCCCGAACAGTCCTTCTGCAAGCAATGCACGAAGCCACCCGCGCCCTAGAAAAAGAACCCTTCAAGTGCCCCAACGGAAAGAGGTTCAACCTGAGACGGCACAAGGCTCTGCTGGCAAGCAGACTGTTCCATGATGAAGGTTGCTTCACAATTGAAGTGAGCATGCTGGACGGGGTCAATTCCGGGGCTGCAGGTTCGGTTTTCGGGACCCGAAATCCCAGCGCCCCAAAAACTTCCGAAGCCTTCCCCTAAAACCCTTAAACCCTTAAACCCTAAACCCCTAAACCCTAAACCCCCTAACCCCTAAACCCTAAACCCCTAAAACCCGAGACCCTAAAACCCTAGCAAGGCCCAGCCAAGGCAAGGCTCTGAGGTTACATCTTCGGCTCTCGGCTTCGCAGTCAGCTCGACGCGGCATCGCGAAGTGTAGGGTTTAGGGGTTTAGGGGCGTAGGGGTTTAGGAGTTTAAGGGTTTAGGGTTTAGGGGTTTAGGGTTTAGGATTTAGGGTTTAGGATTTAGGGGTATGGCAAGAGCATCGGTTTCTTTGAGGGCTTGATTACTGAACAATTTCACGGGGCTTTGCGGGGATATGATACTTTTTGCAGAGCCAGCAAAGGGACTAGGTGGAGTGTACAGGCTTTCGGGTTCAGGCTTTAGGTTGTGGGGTTTGGGGTTTAGGGTTTCGGGTTTAGGCTACATGACCTGGCAGAGCCTCATCATGACCCTCGCAGGCCTGGTGCGGCAAAACCCTCTTCCAAGTGTTGCTAATGTCACAGACTGCTCTCAGGAATTAATATCACCCATGATGAAAACCCCCGGAACTTCTCTTGGTTCTAACTTTACAACTCTATGATTGTCTGGTATTTGAGATTTGCATGTCCGTGCAATGGCCGAGGCGAAAAGCAGCTGGTCGAGCCGATGAGATGCAGAGCATGCTTTGGTGGACCCCCCCAAACCGTGACGAAACCCTAAACTCCTAAACCCTAAACCCCTATCCCCTAAACTCCCAAACCCTAAACTCCAAAACCCTAAACCCCGCCCCGAAACCCCTAAACCCTTGATCCAGAGTCTGGGACTCTTACTTACAGAATTCAGGGCGCAGGGTTCAGGGGTTTGGGGTTTGGGGGTTCAGGGTTTAAGGGTTCAGGGTGCAGGGTTAGGGTTGCGAGTAATCAGGGTCTGGGATTACGGGTTTTGGGCTGAGGAGCACACCACTCTTGAAGAGCTAATTTAATGGGATATACGATGCACGGGTCAAGCTTCGGGTTTGGAGTTGGGAGGGTCCGGCGCATATTCCAACCAGTGGTTTAGGATTTAACGCTCCGGGCGTGTAGTGCTTGTGACGGCAATCTTTTGCAACGCAGAAGCTGCGCCACGAAAATGTGCAACTGAGGCTGGATAGGATTGATTCGACATAACGCTGTCAGTTTCAATCAACATCACACTTACTTCCACTTCCTGACCAGAACCAGTTGCTGTGTGCCTTGGGTATTTGTGAAACGGCGGCTTCGGCCGCATGTGACGGATTGTCGGTTTCGGGTTCTCACACTCGAGGCGCGGGGGGCTTGGGGCGTTCAGGGTTGACGGTCCGTTGCTGGTCGGGCTTTCGACTGATGCCCTACATCCTGAGCTCTCAAACTCTCAGCTCCGAGCCAGCGAAACCCCCCAAACTCGAGACCTTCAAGCCTAACTAAACTAAAAACCCTGAACCCCCTAATTAGCCCATAAACTCTAGACCCAAAACCCTATCCGTCACCAAACCAGCGCTTGTAGGCGCGGACACGCGGATGGTTCCTTGGAAAGATTCCGGGGCTGCGGGGCCGTTCTTGAATATGGTTTAGGGAGTTTAGTTAAGGGTTTAAGATTACGGAATCAGGCATGATAATCGATTTCTGGTTTATGGTAAGTACGAGAGTAACAAAATAAAGTTCTACCTGAAACACCATCGCATCAGCGCCAACTCGTGTACACACCCTGAATCCTGAAACTCACCAGAATTTTTTTGCCCAGCTGCTCCCCTTCGTAACCAGAGCGGAACTCGCCAACCTGCTGAGGAGTTTTCTTCGTCGGGTATTCTGGTTGAACAGCTTGTGTTTTGCAAACCTAACAGACAGAATCCCAAGAAGCTATAAAAGCTCAGTGCTTCCGTCCTTGTTTCTGTCGAATCCTTTTCGAAGACGCCACACATGGGTCAGACTTCGTTTCGCCATCGCATCACGCCTCTACAGCTTAGACTCCAAGCCGGCAAGCCCAGACCCGAAGCCCCAGACCCGGACCCTAAAGCCTTAGCCCGAGTTCCCTGCAACCCTGAAGTCTTGAGGAGGCGCCAGCACCCCTAAACCCCAGCTACAACCTCAATCCTGCGAGGGACATGGGGAAGCTGAAAGTTCGAGCTGCCCAAAATTCGGACCCCGAAACGTGATCCGGACTCTGACCAACGCCAGAATCTCCTGGCACCTCGTAATCGAAGTCGAAGATGCCATCGCGATCCAGGTACAGCTTGCCGCCATGCGTCCCGAAGGGTTGCTTCATGAACCTGTCACGGGGGGTTGGGGGCCTAAGGCCCCGAAGGCCGCTAAATGATTTAGGGTTTAGGGTTTAGGGTGGAATAACATAACATGGCCAATGGGGTACCAAGAGGGCCCGCTATGGAACTATAAGTCCTAGAAGCCATATTGGGCATGGTCTTTTGGGGCCGAATTCCATAATGGTAGTATATATGGACACTCTGGGGGATTGTGCTCATGGGTTGAGAGCTTCATTGTTGTCCAAACCGTTAACTTGAATGACTACCCGGACACCATGTCCAAACTATGCAATTCGCGGAAGAGATTTTAGCGAGGCACAGGATCGCACAACAAACATGGGACACGATTAGCATCGTTACAGTCCATCTCGACCACCAACAGCAACGGAAGCGCAAAAAGCAGCAGGCCACACCAAAGCCATTGTCAGCGACAGCAATCGGGTCAGCATGCTCGAGATTACCAGCCGATATGATCACTGTTGTCTCTTCCCCGCCGCGTGACAGAATGATTCGCCTCACGACCAACATCTCTGGCCTTTGTATTGACGTAACCGTTGTTGATAGCCGCTCGATGGTAGTGGCAGCAGCAGTTGACAGTTGCGTTCGTTGCAGGACATGATGCTGCGTCTCTTGTTACAACCATCAACCCTAAACCCTAAACAGCACCCAACTACCGCTTCAGCCCGGCCTCGGCAAGTCGCTGGTATTCTGGGACCAGGAGTCTCCGTTGGGGCGGATCACAAAGCCTTCCGGCTGCAGGCCGTAATGGTCGCGGCCTGCACAGGCTCCCACCATGGACAGAGCCCTCCAAACTCTCGGCCCTACCAACAGCCAAGGCTACTGGAGGATCATGGGACTTAGTAACTATAGGGTTATACATAAGGTAACTATACTTATAACTCCAATTAGGGTAATTATAACCTTACTTACTAAGTCCCATGATCCTTCAAGTAAGTTTCTGTACCCTCTATACTCGATGCGATCCTCTGAAAACACCCAGCGACGTCTACTGGAGGCGGGGACGCAGCTGAGGGTTCAGAAGTCCTTGCCTTGCGGGAAGATGTAGATGAAGTCCACGACACTGCCTCAAAGGAGAACCCGTCAAAGGTCGACCCGAAGAATAGAGTTCAGCTTTAGGGTTTAGGAAGGTTGGCCCCTGGGCCCTAAACCTGAAGCTCGAGTGCGGAAGCTTTCGGCCGTGCTTAGAGTAGTTTCAGGCCCCCCCTCGGAACCATGTCAGGTCCACCATACCTGCCCTTGACAGTTCTGCAATGTTTTCTGGAGAACTTTCAGCTGCCGAAAAAAATGGATTTCGGACACATTCATTCGGCCACCAAGCTCGAAACCTGAAGCGAGAGCTGCCCCCCCAAGCATGCACCTTAAACCCTAAACCAACCCGCTACCCCTAAAGAAGAACCATTTCAATCCTCGAGTGCATACCGTAAACCCCCAGACCCCAAACCAACAACCCTAGAGCCCAAGCCCTACTACTGTATATGGGCCCTTAATCAATAGAACCTGACGAACGTAAAGGTATAATCCTAAGGACTAGTATTACCAATTGTCCCCTCAACCCCTAAAACCCTAAACCCTGTTCTTCGGATTTGCCACCTGTTGCTTTCACCTGAACTTCGGCGTCGCCCAGCTCTCCTACCATGCAGGGAGACAAAAGTTGTAGGAGACCTTAAAGAGGGCTTAGGGCTTAGGGGTTAAAGGCACCTGCAGAACCCTCATCGGAGCCCCTTATAGGAACCCTGATGGGACCCCTCACAGTAGAACCCCCTATAGGAACCCTCGCAGTAGGAGTCGGGTTTCCGGTTTAGGGTTCATTGCAGCTCCTGTTTTGGGATACCCTACCCTAAAGACAAAACTTGGTTTAAACTTTAAGCCCAAAGAAGGACCTACAACGGAGACCATACTGTTGATGATATAAATCCTGCATTACCTTACGGACCCTAAACTATGGGAATCCGCCGAGGCCAAAGGCCTCTGGCGTCTTGATGGTTAATACTAACCAACCCTCTACCTAATCCTTCTCCCTGCAGCCCAAATGCAAACTTCCACCCGTTTTTAGCGACTGTTTTCGACCCCCTTGCCCGGCTTCCGTCCTTTTTTGCTGCCGAATTTGCCTCCCCCCCTCCTGCCCCCCCCTCCCGGGCCCCTCCTCCTGGGCCCCCCCCCCCTCTCCTGCCCCTGCCCCCTGCCCCCTGCCTGCCCCCCCCGCCCCGCCCCCCTCCCCTCCCCCCTCCCTCTCTCTTCCGCCCCTCCGGCTCCCTCCTCGCTCGTTTTCCTTTTTTGGTTTGCCTTTTCTTTATGTTTGTTGCTCCCCCACCCCCCACCCCCCCCCGTCTTGTCCTGGCCCCCCCCTGCCCCTCCGGCCCCCCTTCCTCCTCTGCCTTCCCGCCGTTTTTTGTTTTATCCTGCTCGTTTTCTTTCCTCTTTTCTTCTCTTCCGGCCGCCCCCCGGGCCTCCACTGCCTTTTCTTCTTATGTTTCGTTCGCGTGCTTTGGCTTTTTCGGCCTGCCCCCCCCGGGCCGGCTCCACTGCCTTCTCTTCTTATGTTTCGTTCGCGTGCTTTGACTTTCCTGCTTCCTTGTTGAAGCTTCCCCCCCCCCCGACCCTCCCTCCCTTCCCCGGCCTCCTCCCCCCGGGCCTTCCCCCGGCCCCTTTTCCCACCCTTCCGTCTTGTCCTGCCCTCGAGTGTTTTTTCCATTGCGACTTTTTCGTGCACTTGTTTTTGGCTTGTTTTCTTCCCCCCCCCCTTCCCCCCACCCTTCCTCCTCCGGCCCCCCCTTCCTCCTCCTGCTTCCCCCTGTTTTTTGTCTTCTGCCTGCTCGTTTTCTTTCACCTTTTCTTCTCTTTCGGCCTGCCCCCGGCTCCACTGTCTTTTCTTCTTATGTTTTCGTTTGCGTGCTTCTTTCCTGCTTCCTCGTTGAATCTCGTTTTGCTGTTTTGTTGCCCCTCGCCCCCCCCCAAGCCCTCCTCCCTCCCCGCTCCCCCGGCCCCTTTTCCCACCCTTTCGTCTTGTCTGCACTTCTTTTGGCTTGTTTTCCTTCCTTCCCCCCCTCCCCCTCTTGCTGGCCCCCCCTTCCTCCTCCTTCCGTGTTGTCCTGCACTCGCGTGTTTTTTCGACCTTTTCTCCTCTTTCGGCCTGCCCCCCACCGAGCCGGCTCCACTGCCTTTTCTTCTTATGTTTCGTTTGCGTGCTTTGGCTCTCCTGCTTCCTCCTTGAAGCTCCGTCGTTTTGCTGTTTTGTTGCCCCTCGCCCCCGCCCCCCCTCAGCCCCTCCTCCCTCCCCCGGCCCCCCTCCCGGGCCCCCCCCCGTCTTGTCCTGCCCCTCCACCCTTCCTCCCCCCCCTTGCTGGGCCCCCCTCTCTTTTATCCTGCTCGCGTTCTTTCCTCTTTTCTTCTCTTCCGGCCTGCCGCCCCCCGGGCCTCCACTGCCTTTTCTTCTTATGTTTCGTTCGCGTGCTTTGGCTTTTTCGGCCTGCCCCCCCCGGGCCGGCTCCACTGCCTTTTCTTTTTATGTTTCGTTCGCGTGCTTTTCCCCCCACCCCGACCCTTCCTCCCTTCCCCGGCCCCCCTCCCCCCGGGCTTTCCCCCGGCCCCTTTTCCCACCCTTCCGTCTTGTCCTGCCCTCGCGTGTTTTTTCCATTGCGACTTTTTCGTGCACTTCTTTTTGGCTTGTTTTCTTCCCCCCCCCCTTCCCCCCACCCTTCCTCCTCCGGCCACCCCTTCCTCCTCCTGCTTCCCCTTGTTTTTTGTCTTCTGCCTGCTCGTTTTCTTTCACCTTTTCTTCTCTTTCGGCCTGCCCCCGGCTCCACTGTCTTTTCTTCTTATGTTTTCGTTTGCGTGCTTCTTTCCTGCTTCCTCGTTGAAGCTCTCGTTTTGCTGTTTTGTTGCCCCGTTTTGCTGCATGTGTTTGCTCTACACTTGCCACACTTCTCCAAGTAGCCCTGACCCTGCAACTAATTTACACCTGCTTTAAGAGGCCCTTCGCAGTTTGGCCCCTGCTCTGCGCCCCTGCTGGCCCTACTGCGGCCGAGGCGGGCTGCGTAGCATTAGAATTACGGACTATTCCTTATCATGGGTAATGCAGGGTTGATATCATCAACGGTAGGTCTTCCTGATTTTGTTCTTTGGGCGGAGGCTCCGTGTTAGGGGCTCAGGGCTGGAGCACACAGCCGTTTGAACGACCTGGCTTGGAAGCGCTGATCCCTGCTAGCTGTCGCCTCCGAAAGTGCAGAGTGTAGTGTTTCGGGGCCCGAAACATCCCTAAACCCTAAACCCCTACACTCTAAACACCACCCCTCCCACCACAACAAAACTGACCTTCCAGCCTGTCAGAATCACTCGAACCCTCAGAGAAACTCACTCTTCCACAACCCATAGTTGCTCACCCTGCAGGACCCCTCATAGTAACATAGGGGCCTTAATAATTAGAATAGGGTCTTGGGGCTCATTCTACAGTACCATAGTTACAATAAGAACCCTGGCAACTATTTCGGCCCCAGTAGTAGCTCCTCTGACGTGCCAGCCCAAGTAGACTTCCGAGATTCCCTCATGCATCCGATACACCACCTGGGCGGTTGTCAAAATTAGGCAGGGTCCCTTTTTGGGTCCTTGTTATAATACGGCACTTAATATTTAAGGTACCCAAAACGGGATCCTAATTTTGACAACCACCCACCTGCAGGAAGGGCAAGGATGCTTTGGGGCTCTTGCTCGGGCCGCAGGTCCCAAATGTTTCATGCCTTAATTAAGGAATACCTAGGGTTCCCTTAAGGGATCTATGGTAACTAGTGCTGTCTGCACGTGCATGCATGCACGCATGCATGGCATGCATGGACGGAGGGAGGGATGTATGGAGTATGTATGTATGTATGATTTAACTAAGTACCTATGCTTGTATGCATGCATTCATGCATGCATGTACGCGTATGCATATATTAGAGTGCAAGCATGTAAATTTACATGCGTGTTTATGTGTTTTTGTGTATATTTACATAAATATCAATATAATTCACAAGTCTCTCATATCTCTATCTCGCTCTCTATCTAATTGAGTTTGGGGTGTGCTTGGGTTGCGGCCAAAGCATGGTGACTGCATAGTGGCATATGATCGTGAAGAAATCCGATTTGGGCTTCGGGCGTTGTGTTTCGGATATAGCTACCCCCCCATTGCAATCCACTTTGCAAGTCCTCTGGCAGCAACGCATGCGCACAAAAGTTGCGAAGGCATGGAATGCGTGGATCTTGCGCATGGCTTAGGTATCGTATCTTCGGGATGCCAGGGTGTTTTTCTTGCATACAGCTGCGAAATGCAAGCCCTGTCAGGAGGAGGATAAACTGTAATGAATAGACAGGCTCCAAGACTAACTAGACGTTGGGGCTTATGTGCTCTAAACTACCGGTATAGAGTATAGAAGTTAGACTCATTCTAAGCAGCTCGACAGGCTCCCCTTTGGTTTTCACTCGCAGCATCTCCGACGAAGTCGCCGACGAAAAGGAGCGCTCGCACCATCGCGCGTCCCCCCCCCATGCATTAGCAAGCGGGTTGTTCTTATCCTTCTCCGTGGCTTCCCCCGAATGCAGAGTCCGAACTTTGGTGGTCCTAGAAAGGCTGACATTGCAGATAGGGAGGAAGACCACTCGGAATTGTTTGCACACGCTCGAAGTGTTCCATGGATCCAACGAGCCTTGGGGCTCGGATTACGCACGGACCGCATAGAATCAAGCTGTCACATGTGTGAAACGAATTTGCCGAACATGCCGCCCGGCATTCTATCTGTCCAACGTTCGAGCTTTTTGCTCGAATGATTCAGAGTGTCGCCTTCTGCAGCAGTTCGCCAACCGGCACACCTCCTACTTGATCAGAACTGAACAGAACGTGTGATCTTTGCTTCCGCTGCAGGTCAGGTCAACAAAACCTGCAGTCCGGAGTCTACTAGACCAATTCCTGGGTAAAGAGCCAAAGAACCATCATTGACCACACTCACATGCGCCACACGCTCTGGACAAATGAAGCTGGCATTGCCATGCTCCTAAAGAAACCAACTGAGCTTCCCCTCGGCGCTAAGCACTATCGTACAAGCCGGCACCGAAGATGCCTGCGTGCCTTTGATGGTGGCCTCGTGGGGCACCATCTCACTCGACCAAGCCAAACCGTCTGCGATGCTGCTGGAGGTAGCAAGTCGATGTGCAGGCTCGCTCTTGGGAACACCTGTCCCCGAGGTTGTGAATCCAGATGAAGCTTCTGCGTGTACCTTTGCTGCCTTGAAAGTGCCTTCCTTGCCCAGCATGTTGCGGCTGTGAAACTCGGGACGACAAGCCCCGGGTGGCAACGGTTGCGGGGTTTCTGCAGGCACGAAACTCTGGCTGTGAATGCATCTCCATGGCCCTCCGCCCCTCAATGGCTCCAAGCAGAGTGGAATTGCTTTTTTAAAGCCCGGAACAAACTGGCCGTGGATGTTGTCGGTGCTCTTCTGCGCCGCGAACCCGTCGCGGAAGCGGATCACAGCGAAGCCCCGCGACTTGCCATTCGGAAACAGCGGCATCTCCGTCTGGAAGTCTGCGAGACCCTTTGACTCGAGGAAATTGCGCAAGATTCCCGCATCGCACTTCGCAGGGATGTGACGCAGAAAGAACGCCTGTGCGGTGTCCTGGTCCCGGGCCTCTGCCCTCAGGTGCCGGAACGAAGTCATGTGGCGTAGCCGGAGAGCTGAGTGATTTACTCAAGAAGTGTGCATAACCGAAAAGGGATGGAATCCAAGTTGATTGCGCTTCATGAGTAGATCGACTATAACTATATCAATTGAGTAGTGACAGAATCCGTCATGAGCATGCTGAAAGTCGACGGCACAGCTTTGAGCCGACTAGACAACTGAAAGAACCCGAATGAACATTTGCGAAAATATTTGCGTTCCATGTTTTCCATCCTGCTAATCTACTTGAGGCCACTGGGTTCTTGTCGCTCGTGACTCTTATCTCCACTCTGTCTTTCATCTCGATGCATGGTTTGTTATTGCCTGCTGGCTTTCTACGTGTCCCATGCTTCTGTTTGCATTTGCTCCACTTCGGTATTTCGCTCCGTTCCTGCTTTTGCCTCTTTCTGTCTGTCCTCGTCTCCTTTCTCCACACACGAGCCCAAAGGTTGAAAGTCGAAGCTGTTGGGTCTGATTCCTCCCTGCTTGCTCTCGCCTGGGTTCTTGTTAAGGAACTTAATTTAAGGTACCATAATAGGGATCTATAATGAATAATAATATGGTTTCCTTACTATGGTAACTTCAATCAAACCCGTTAACAAGAACTCTGCTTCTTCAAGGTGCTCTCCACATAAGGTGTCGTGCTTGGGGTCACAGGCTTGAAGTGTGGCTTGGGTTTCCATAACTCTGTGGATCCTGTAAGCCCTACGAACCCTATAAACCCCATAAGCCCTAAAACCTATAAAGCCAAAGCCCGAGACCCTAAAGTTCTGCTTCCACTTTAGACTGATGGAGCTCCGACATGCTTCGACACCGTAAAGCCTAAACCTGGAAACCACAGGCCTTAAGCCAAGGATTCCTGGTTGCAGCCTGCAGCAAACCTGACCAGCCTTAATCATCTTAATGCTGAAACGCGGAGCAAACAAGGTTTAGGACCTAGCCTTGTACTATGATTATATTGAGGCCCCTATTAGAATCTAGAATGGGTAGGATTCGCGGTTCCCCCGCGCCTTGTCCGGCTCTGCGACAGCGCGAACTGTCTGACCAACCCATTCGTTGACCCTGAAGGGCGCACAAGTTGACCATCAAACCGTGCCGGAAGCCCCTGAAACACAAATGCCCCCAAAACTTGATTTGTGGCGGGGGCGTCTGTCCGAAAGAGATCCTTTCTCTAGGCATCCTTACAATACTGATTCTGCTACTTGGATTCTACATTCCCCTACTCGAAACTCGAAGCTACAAATGCAGACTATTATTGCATCTGGATATCAGGTCTCCCAAACTCAAAAAACTTGCCTAAACCTTGTTCGCCTAAGCAGTACCTAAGCCCTTAACCCAAAACCCTCCTCGGGTGCGCCGCCACGGATTGCATCGCAAGGTCGAAGAGCGTTATCGGCGTGTGGTCGTTGCGAGGGTCCATGCCGGCCTCTTACGTTTCAGGGAGCTCGTCCTATTATAGGGGCCTTAACAAACAGAATCGGGTTTGGGGGTATACTATACTATACTATACCTACAATAAGGAACCCCCCAAAATAGCATAGGTAATTAACTATAAAGGCCCCGATTTTGCTGCTTTCGGGCCGACAGGGCTTAGATGGCCAGGGGATGCCAGGGGCTTGCAGTGGTGTAGGGTTTAGGGTATAGGGTTTATTGTGGACTGCGCCAATCTGTACAAGCTATGGGTTTCAGATGGTCCCTGGGGCAGACAGGAGAGGCAAAGCTGAAGCAACGAAGTACCTCCGAAGACTGGGGTTCAACCGTTGCTGCTGATGTTTCTAACCCACACCGAATCTTCGACCACTACAACCAAGACTCCTAGACCTGAGCCACTGAGAAAGGGGCCTTAATAACTAGAATCGGGTATATTACACGATAACTACATCGTGGAACCCCCAAAATAGTATTGATAAATATTTATGCATCTGTATTACACTAAAGCCGAAGAGCTCGCCTTCAAGCCCACTCCCGAAACCCCGGCGAAAATCTGGGCACCGACCTCAAGACACCCTGCAAGCATGGAGCCCGAAACCTCAACAAGCCTGAGACCCAACACCTCATGCCATAAAACCCTGCCAGCCATAAGACAGGAGCATTATGCCTTCAGTGTAAGAACAGGGTTTCGGGGCCGATTCTGTTGCAGCACCAGGACCAGAGTATACCCCCAAACTCCCCTAAACCCTGAGCCCAAACTCTCAAGGTCCCTCTGTTACAGCAGCCTCCCAGCTCCTGTCCCCTGGCCGCCCAATGTAGCGCAGATCGCCCGCGCGAATTCGCCGCATAACGAAGAGCTCATGATGAAGCTGCGCCTCGGTATAAGGTGTAATGGGGGGCGCCTTACTTGGAGGACCATGGGACTTACCTTATTCATAAGCCTAGTTACTAAGTCCCATTATCCTCCAAGTAGTGATTAGACTAGGGTGCCAGAGGGGCTAATGGCTCCATCTCAGTAGGGTTACCAAAAAAGATAAGGCTGCTAGATGTAAGTGTGCAAGCAAAAGGGACCTCAGTAAGCCTTAGGTTTTACCAGAAGCTGCGAGGACTGAAAACCGATGCGAGCTGAGCCGCAAAAAGCTCTGCCTTCCTTCTCTGGAGGCTGTCTGGCGCATACCTGACAGCTTCTCAGGTTTGGGGCTCATTGGGGGGTTCACAAATAGAACAGGGTTTTTGGGCCCGTTATACTACAGTTATAATGAACCCAAAAAGAAGTATAGGTAATTATTTAGGCCTGTAGTAGGGGTGTTGGAAGGTTTACGGATGGCGACCTGACTTGCTTTATAACTCTTGCTGCGTCCTTGGAGGGATTCTGGATGCAACACACAGTAATGCAGCTTCAAGGATCCGAATTCCACCTCGCCCCACACAGCTGAAAGCCAGAATTCTAAAGTCAAGCTGAACCCTTAACCCTAAACCCTAAACCCGGAAACACCGGGCTGCTGTCTGTGAGCATGGCTTGACAACACCGCTTTTGGACTGCAGGCGCGAATCCGATGCCAATAAGCCACACTATGGGGGGGGGTGGGCTTTGAAAATCAGACTAGGCCTCTGGTGCATAAGAACAAGCCTTTATAACGACTACTGAAACAGAATATTCCGGTCCTTAATGGGGACCCGTACCCTATCATGGGCTATATCATGGGTATATAACAGCTACACCTTAAGGGTATATACCTAGGGGTCCTTATTAAGGGTCCCATAGTAATAGTACTCCAACACCCGAGCTTGCAGCGCCTGAAAAGCCGATTGGCGTCCTCGGCGTCAATGCATTGAACGACGAAGCCTGGGTTCTTGCTTGGAGGGTCGGGGGACTGAGTAACTAGTTATTTTAGGGACTTATAAATACCATAACCCCAATTAGGGTGGATTTTTGGGTACTTATAAGTCTACTTACTACCTACTTACTAAGTCCCCCGACCCTCCAAGTGGGTCCCATGCTACACTCCACAATCCGAAGCCACAAGCACCCAAACCCCAAAATCCGAATCCGCTCACACCCTCAGCCGCGGAGATCTCCAGATTCTAAACCGGGAGTGGAAGACTTGCATGACAAAGCAATTAATGCTGAAGAGGCGGGACAGTCTACACAAAGCCACATCCCGGATCAACAATTTTCGTGCTAGCACGACCCTCATTACCAGCCGTTCTGTTATACAGCCTCATGATGACAGTTGCCATACCGACCCTGATTCTTGCTGGGACACGATTCCGCGGGTCGCAACACGGGCCCCAAGACCCTGAGCCCTGCAACCCAAACCCACCTACATCAAAAGCCTTAATTAAACTCTAAAACCCGACACCCAAGGACGCTCAACCGTGAACCCTACCTACACCAAAACACCCCCAGAGTCTGAAATCCCGACGACCCAAACGCCTCCCTGGTGCTTAGTAGGGAATGGGCGAATGGGTTATGGGGACTACTCTTGCGGATTATACCGGGGCTACTATAGGGATCCATTCCACCATTCCCTACTACTAAGAACCAGACAGACTACAGTAACCTTTGTAGATCCCTTTACAGGATCCCTTTTAAAGCAACCCCAAGGCCATTCCCCCATTCCCAGACAGGGACTATAGATGCCCTAAGACCCCTTTCAGAACCCGTATAGGAAAGGAACCCTTAAAGGAACCCTATTCCCCACTAAGAACCAGACAGACTAGGCTGCAGCCACAGAGACGCCTTGCCACCCGGACTGTGGCCCAGGAAGAGAGGAAGAGCGCCGGGCCCAAGAATCCTGCTTTAGGGGCCTTAATATTAAGAATAGGGCTCCCTTTACAGAGCTCTGTTTTGAATTTAAAACAGGGCTCCCTTTAAAGAGGTCTATAAGGGATAGTAGGGTACGAATTATGATATAGGGGCCTTAATTTTAAGAATAGGACTCCCTTTAAAAAGGTCTGTAAGGGATAATAGGGTACAAATAGGGGCCTTAATATTAAGAGAAGGTTTACCTTAAAGGCGTCTGTCAGGGATATATAGTAAGGGTTTTGGGGACCGTTACACTCAAACTATATTAAGGAACCCTATTTTAGAGTGAGAAGGTCTTAGGGTTCTGGAGCTTCTTGGATTTAGGGGTTTAGGGGTTTAGGATTTAGGGTTTAGGGTTCTGGAGCTTTTAGGGTCTGGGGATTGGCCGGGTTTCGGGGCTGAAGGGCGTTTAGGGTTGAGAGCAACTGTAGAGAGCAATGGTAACAAGGGCAATGCGAGCACGCGAGGAGGAAGGGCAGTAGTCATGGTGTTGATGATGGGCGGGCACACGAGGGTTTTCGGGTTTCGGGTTTAGGGCTTAGGAAGTTGAGGTTGCCAGGGCTGAGAGTGCGAAGATGCTCATACGCCACGCAAGAAACAAAAACTACCAAGACCACTAGTCGTCAAAGCAGGTAGCCCAAGAAGGACAGCAGTAGTAAGAACGTCAGTGATACTACCACGACAACTAGCAGACTATCACTAGAAGCAGCAACTCTTCAAACCCGCAAGTCGGAGCCCTACAAAACCCTGTAGCGTTCGTAGTTGTGGTAGTCATCAACGTAATTCACACCATCATTGTTCTTTCCGTTGTTATGAATCGTATAGTTACAACTACACATATGGGAGTTTCCGAAAATTGGGGACCCTAATATAGTACCCTAAATAGTAGGATCCTTATTATAAAAATCCCAAAATAAGGTACCCCTTATTTTCGGAAACTCACATATGCATAGTAATAGCTTTAGCATTGCCGTTCTGCGGGCGAAGCGGCCCTGGGCAGCGCTTCCAACTCCGGCGCCCAGTAAAACCAGGACGCCAGTGTCTACGGGCCTCTCAGGGCAGACTGGACTTAGGGTTTAGGGGTTAAGGGTTTAGGGTTTAGTGTTTAGGGGTTAAGGGTTTAGGGGTTAAGGGTTTAAGGTTTAGTGTTTAGGGGTTAAGGGTTTAGGGGTTAAGGGTTTAAGGTTTAGTGTTTAGGGGTTAAGGGTTTAGGGGTTAAGGGTTTAAGGTTTAGTGTTTAGGGGTTAAGGGTTTAGGGTGTTTCAAGATTCATTATATGCCCCTTCTTTCTGCAGCTCTACACCCAGATCAGAAACCTTTGCAAGCCAGGGCCTCGCAGGCTTCGTCGGTGCAGCTTCCTTTCCGGGGTCATTGCCTTCGCTTGGAGGTGCGGAATACAAGACATAGGGTCTAGTGGGTCCTGGGTTAGGGGTTTATGCACGTTCAACAATGGTTTAAGGGCTGACGGAGTGTTAGGCTACTGCACTCCTGGCGCTCCTGTTTCCAAGCGTAGTCATCAGTTGAGAACAACTGCACTGAAAATGTTCCAAGATGCGCCGGCAGTCTGAGGTGGATCTACTGAGCTACACCCCCACCGATCCACCCGCCCAACACACAAACGAACAACAAATCAAATTGACGACGCTCAGCCCTAAGCTCTGAACCCTATACCCACATCGCTATAGCGCTATACATATGTTTATGTGCATATATATATATATATATATATATATCTATCTGTATGTAGATGTATATATGCATATGTTTTATTTTATTCTATCATGACATATCACTTCATACCATATTAAAACATACTATACCATTTTAGAATATATACTATAACGTATTATACTATATTGTATGATACTGTACTACACTATATCACATTATAAACTATACTGTGTATATATATATATATATATAGATATACATATATATGATAAGTCCGAGCTTCCGTCGGTAGAAGAAGCCTGCAGCCCCATGGCCTGCTTCCAACGCAGAAGCTGCAACCTCAGGCGGCTCTGCCGCCAAAGCTCCTGAGACGAACTCCAGGCTCTGGGCTTTAGCGGCTTTAGCGGCTTTAGCGGCTTTAGGGGGTTTAGGGGGTTTAGGGGGTTTAGGGGTTTAGGGTTTAGGGGTTTAGGGTTTAGGGTTTGGGGCTTTAGGGCTTCGGGGCTTTGGGGCTTTAGGGCTTTAGGATTCGGCTTTAGGCTTCAGGCTTCGGGTTTGGGGTTTTAGGGTTTAGGCTTCAGGGTTTTAGGGCTTTAGGGTTTTAGGGCTTGAGGGTTTATAGGTCTTGGGGTTCAGGGCTTAGGGCTTAATGCTTAAAGCTACAATGTGGTTTAGAATTCAGAGGTTACTGCCCGGGCCCTTTGGAGGTAGTGCGATGTGCTGGGGATAGAGTCTGGAGGCATGACATGACGACATAGTGTGGGCATCGGAGCTTGATCTAGGGTTTAGACCCGAGGCGGTGAGATTCCACCTCGTCGAACATCGGTCCTGGGCATTGCCATCCCGCACTGAACGCGCCGACTGGGCTGCAGCAGCAACGCTCCTGGTCGACATAGAGGTTGCTTGGGCGATCTCTCACTGTACTGCTAATTGCAATTCTGCGGCATTGCAGCGAAGTGGCACCGATAGTTTGAAACTGCCCTGTTGCGTCGGTTTACGATGCAGTGCTGCACTCATGCGCGCAACATTGGACTGCCTCACGCAGATGTTGAGTTCAGGGCATCAAGTGTACTGGTTCTTGATAGCTTGCAGCTATGCCCTCCCGAGCTTATGACGGCTGTTGCAGGGTTCAATCTTGACGGATTTGCGGTGAAGTACATTCTAGCACGCGACACGAAAAAGGCTAGCACGATCTCTGTCCACAAGGCATTCATACGATACACATCAAGCGAACATGCAGTCGTCACGACCCGGGAAATGTCCTGTCAAACCAGGCGTTGAAGCGATCGTCGAACTTTCTGTTGGCTTGAGTCCAGATGTCCCACAGGTGATCCTAGACATGTGCCAACAGACAGCTGAGGGCATTCGGAACGTCTCTCCTCCTATGAGAAGCTTGCAAGCGGTCGCACGGTCGCCCTGCAGTCTGTATTCTGCCCTTGCAAGTCTTCTCAAGTCCTACATAATTACCTGTATTATTTTGGGGGCTCCCTCTTATAACTACAGTATAATTGGGCCCCCCAGATCCCTAGTCTAATCACTAAGGCCCCAAAAACATGGTACCTTTATAGTAGCCCTCATAGTAACCCTTACAGACCCCTGTAAAGGAAGCCTATTCTCATTATGAAGGCCCCTATGTTACGTTAGGAGGTCTCCGAGCTGGCATCCAGGCAGAAGCCCCTGAAGCCCAAATGCGCAAATGCTCATCCCCGACGGCCCTTGAGCACGCAAGACCAACTCTTGCAAAAGACCGGCTGGGGAGGAATGTGATTAGGAGCCTTCATAATTTGAGTAGGGTATTGGTGTATATTGTACTGTAAGGATACTTAAGAAACCCCCGAAATAGTATAGGTAACTATTAAGGCCCCTATACTACGCCCCCATAATAATACCCCTTATTCGAAACCCCCTTTAAAAAGAACCCGCCAGAATAGTATAGGTAATGATTAAGGCCCCTTTGTCTTTTTGTAGGACAACCTCGACCTCCTTTGCCTCGCTCCCAACCGAGCGCTGCCTTGCTCCTTAGACATCCGCCCGAAGGACAACCTTCCTAGAGCCTCCAAAAAATCTTTAATGAAGGAACAATTAGTAATTATGCCTTATTTCGGATCCTACTATGATTTAAGGTATATTCCTTAGTTATGCGTTTTTGGGAGTCTGTGGGTTGCAGTACGTGGACGCACCCTGACTGTCCAGCAGATCTGACGTCGGCAGCGCTCTCAGTGCTTGCAGAGCCTTAGGGGGCGGGTGATGGCCTCTGGGCTCAAGGACACGGCGAGCCTGAAAATGCAACATGCAGAAAATGCATTGATAGTCGTACGGCGAACTCCCCGCGAAACTCGAATCCTAACAGATCGCACAGCGAAACTAAGATGTGCGGCGTCAAACACCCAAGGGACTGCTGTTATCGATGGCGTGACAATGCTCCAACCATGCGCACTGTAAACATGGCACGTCGAAGATGCACACATTTAGATGATAAGAACGAATGGAGACCAAGATAAGAATGAAAATAACGAGGTGGAGGAGGATGGTGCCGGTCCTGACGGTGATGGCGATCGTGATGATGAAAGTGAAGACGACGATGAAGAAGAAGAAGTTGATGATGGTGATAATTCAATGGCGATGACGACGGTGACTACTACTTCGACGATGATGATGATCATCATCATCATCCTACCGAGGCAACACCACACTCAGCCATGTCCTCTACATGGCTGCACCAATACCCCTGAACTTCAAGCCCCTGAAACAAAAAAGCTGGAAGCCCTTGAGCTGGAAAGTTACTGAAGCCTAAAATCCGGACTCCCAAAATCCAACTTTAAAGAAGAAACTCAACCCCAAACCCCAAATCCCAAACCTCAAGCAAAGCGAGCCGAGATGCTCTCAAGCGCTGCCTCCCGGTCGCCGAGAAGTGCAGGTAACGGTCTTTGGCCGACTCCTGTCTGAAGGGGGATTTCGGAGTTTCCAAAAATTAGGGGGGTACCATATTTGGGGTCCTTATAATAAGGATCCTACTATTTAAGGGTACTATATTAGACCATTTGGGTAGTTCTCTAAATCAGGGTCCCCTTTCAAGTCCCCATAGTACGGCACCCATAAAAAAAGTACCCTAAAAGGGATCTTAATTTAAAAAACTACCCATTCAGGGGTTAGGGCTTTCAGGGTTGCTGGGGTTTCGGGATTCAGGGCTATAAGGCTATAAGGGTTCGGGCTTAAAGGCTTCAACGTGCAGCTGAAAACAAAGCACCAAGATTACGGATTGCTCCGCATGCTGCAAACACAGACTACTCACACTAGCAATGTTCACACTGCCAACCGTGCTGACGAGCATTGGTGATAAATGAACGAATCATGCGAACCATGTCCATGGATCCAGCAGAACAAACACTTACAGCAGTACCAATACCTTGCTGTAAATGCGACGCATGGGTCCCAAGCACGTGATGACGGCCTGCGGGAATGAGAGCTGTTTACGGTCCCAACAAAAGCACTCATGATGGCGTGGAAAGGATGAGACTGCTTTAGCCCGAATTAGATCATTAACAATCAAGACTATCAACATCGCTATCAAAATCACCGTCATCATGCTCACCTGGACCGTCAGAACCACGTCCATGATCATCGTGGCACAGCACAATTACAGCAATCATGCCGAAGTGGCACACTGATGATAGAACAAGTAATGAAATTGCTTTCGCTTCACTGGAGTCTTACCGCAAGTGCAAGCTGTATTGGCTTAAAACTCCTAATGGTCAAATGCATTCGTCGTCTACGGACCCTTGGCCAACGACTCAAGGTATGACCCTGAAGCTCTGAACCCGTGAAGCCTAGAGGGGTGAGCCATGGGAAGTTTGCAGCAACGGGGCGCTGTTCTCGCTTTTTCGCCGCAAGCTGCTCTGAAAATTCATTCTCGTGCCAACCGGTTCAGAGTTTGGGGACTGTAGGGACAGGACAATACCGCCGGAGGTAGGCGGTCTGCTCATAAACCACACTTGTACGTTTCGACTGTAAGACTCGATACCTGTTCAATCCCACGAGCGCTGTCGACAAAACCTGTAATATCCGAACCCTGGGCTCTGGAGCCTCCAACCTTGAATCTGTATGGATTCTTCAACTTGCATCCCTAAGCCAAAAAAACCCCATTCCGCAAAGCCTTTGTCCCTCAATCTTTACCTCACACCACTACGCCTAAACTTTCCCTGTCCTGGAATTCCGACAGAGCCAGCTTCGCTCGCCTGACTTTCCGGCGAAGCCACTTCGAGCTTGCCCCGGGTGTCTCCTAGGGTGACATGTTTAGAATTTAGACTGCGGAGGACAAGGGGTTGGGGCTTGGCTTCTGGCGTCTGGAGTTGAGGGTTACGGGATGAAGTTCAGGATTTCAATCGATTCGTTTTCGAAACGGGTTGGACTAAGGCTTTGAAAAGTTTATTGGTTCCGATGCTGTCATCCATGCACGAAGTTTACATGCACACGTCAGACCCCAAACACCAAATCCTCGAACCGATACAACCGAAGCACCACGAACAAAAACCGTGCGGACCTCAAGCCAAACACCCCGGATTCAAACCCTCAAGACCACATCCAACCACGTAGACACGCGTAACACATACCATCACATAACGTTGCATGACATCACATAATTTTGCACTACATGACATGACACAGCATGACATGACATGACATAGCATGACATGACATGACATGGCATGACATGACATGATTTTGCATGACACTACATGACATTACATGGCAGTAAATGGCGTTACATACACTACAAGATGCATTACACATTACATTGCACATTTTATGACTCACGACACCACACCTTACACTACACGTTAGTTTGTTTGGCATTACACCGTACGTTACATTGTACACTATATTGTACTTGGCAACAAACGTTTTCATTGTACATTACATTTTGCATTGTTTTCAAATTACATCATACATCTTACATCTTACGTTACATGTTACATTACATGTTACACTACATTTTACATCACATGTTGGTTGCACTACATTACATGATCCTTTTTGGGTTTAGGCCCTGTGATGATGACTGCTTGTCTGTGTTCCTTTTCCCTCTCCCTTTGGGTTCTTGGGTTTTGGTGGTGCATGCATGAGCATCACTCCGTGCCAATGCAAGCGTACTTCCTTGCATTTTCTTCATGACGATATTTACTTGAAGTTCCTGCTTATTGCCGCTTTCTGAATGTCTAGTGCATTCTTTGACAGCGCGTTTGTCTTCATGACCTACGTGCTCTTCTTCCCCTACGGCGTCTTCACGAGTGGGAGTTCGCCGAGTACAAGA